CATCAGTTTCCACAACTCAGACTGGAAGAACTAGATGGTGCCCAGCTACCACTATCAACTGCTCTGAAAATTGTTATATTAGAAGATCCCATAACAATGAGTACAAGAAAGAGGACAATGTTCTAAAATTGATCGTGGTAATGATTTTACAACTCTTCTTTTTTTCCCACAACAGCTTTATTAGCACACAATTTACACATTATATAATTGAATAGTTCAATTATTCAATCATATCAAGGGGAAAGATTACTCAGTCATAAAAAGAAGTAAAGTATTGATACATGCTACAATATGGATGAATCATGAAAACGTAATGCTAAGTGAAATCAATGGTCACAAAAAAGACACCCATTGGGCCTGGAACTGAACACACTCCTGTGGCTCAACTTTCAGTCAAGGGATCTCAAAAACTCACTGCTATCAAGTCAATTCTGCACTTCCTTTTTTGGTTTCTGAGATTACAAATCTTTACTAGAGTAGAAAACTCCATTTTGTTCCTAAAGAGCAGCTGGTGGTTTTGAACTTCTAAACTGGTGTTCAGCAGCAGAGGTTATAATCTACTGCACCACCAGAGCTCCTCAGTGAAAGGATAGATAGGCCAATACAGTGAAGAATAACACCAGGTACATATTCTCTACAACAAGCAACCACAGAAGATCAAAAGGGCAGTATTTGCCCAAGGCTAAAATTCAGAAGGCAGGAAAGAAAAGGAAAGTAGGAGAAGAGGAAGCAGTAAACATGGGGAGGAAATAGGGAAAATGTTGTTACAGTTTGGGGATTGCAATCAGTGTCACGAATTAAAATTTGTATGAATTATTGAGTGTCAAAACAATTTGCTCCCTGCGATCTTCATGTCTGCTGCTGGTGGGACTGTAAACGTGTACAGCCATTGTGAAAAGCCATATGGTGCTACCTCCAACAACTGGGAACAGAAATTCCGTAAGACCCAGCAATCCCTCTGCTGGGAACATACCCTAAAGAAATAAGACCCATAACATGAACAGACATATCTTTCTTCTGGGCAAGAGACATTCTGGGACGATTCCACCTCTTTTAATTAAACAATCCTGGGCTTCTCGTAGATTGGATTCTTTTGGATAGTAGCATGTGCTTTCTAATACATCTTTTCCATCATGTCAGGAGTTATGTTGTTCTTTATTTTATTGAGAAAACTGTTTCTTGGAAGCATCTCTATCCTCTTCCATTAGGTAACACATGTAGTCTGTGATATTCTGACCCAGGATGTGTTTCCAATGTACTTCTGCATTGGATTCTTTGCCTTCTGAATCATAATCAGGGAATCGCTTGGGGCTTTGAGCCTCCATCCGCAGCCCCCTGCAGAGCCTCAAACACTTTATTTCCAGTGGTAGTCCTGGCAGGGCCAGCGTCCACATAGCAGGTGAAGCCACCAGGTCGACCATCAATGCTTTCCACATTGTATTCATCTCCAGTTACCTCCACTTGGCCTTAAGAGATCTCGTCCATGCCAAACCTATTCAGAAGCCTGTGGGACAGCAGCAGGCCAGTACAGTATGCTGCAGCATTACTGGCCTGGCCAACTTTCACTCCCTACTTTGGAGCGTTGTGAGCACCAGCTGCACAGAACATCATATCCCCTCCTACAGGGGTATAAGCACTCCTGTTGGGGATGAACTAACAGGAACTATCATTCTGTATTCGGGTGTATTGTACTTATTTTTATCTAGGATGACCGAGCGCTTTCAAGTATAATAAGCAGTTTTTGCCTCTCGCCGTCTTCCACATTTCACTTGGTGTCTCTTGAAGCAGGCCTTGTTCTTTACAGTTTCACCAAGCCCATCCTGCGGGACAGAGAGCAGCGTTTGTGGCTCGCTGCAGGCCTCATCAAGCTGAGTATCTTTCCATATATTTAGTAGTTATTTGTATATATTCTCTGTGAACAGATTTATTCACACCTTTGCCCTCCTTTTCTACTTCTTTTCTTTCATTTTACGAATGATTTGTAAGAGTTTTGAGATTAGGATCAATTAGTATGTTAGCATGTCTTTTTGCATTCCCCCCAAGGATGTTAATTTTTGCTTACTTAATTTATTAATCTTTTCCTTTGGTGGAAACTTAAGTTTGTTATGGGCAATTGAATTCTGGAAAGCCATCGCTGGTTCTGTGACCATATGGATTTCCTGCCTGGCCTTGGGAAAGGGCCTCCCTCATCCAGGGGCCCCTCACAGCGGAAGCCTCCTGCTGGGTGTCATATTTCAGTGTTCTAAGAAAGAGGCTGCCTGCAGGGTTTATATTTAGAGTATGACAGGAGCATGTCTGGGGACTGACTTCTGCATATGTTGCCCCCGAGGGCTGGGATTATGCTGAGGGGCTTATGTGGGTGGCGCAGAGAAAGTGGAACAGAAAGCAGGGAATGAAAGGGCCTCTTTCTCTTGGAGACTGCTTGTGATCCTGTGGACCATCCTTCTATTCGAGGGAAAAATAACCAGGGCAGCCACAGTCACCCACACACCCTCATGGCCATCTACACCCACCATAAACTACTGAACACTACAAATAACAAACAAACAAGAACAACAAAGCCCAGTTGCTGTGGACTTGATTCGGACTCCTGGCAACTCCATGCGTTTCAGAGTAGAGTTGCATTCTTTGGGATTGCTCCATGAAAGGAACCTTGGTGACATAGTGGGTTGGGTGTTGGGCAGCTAACCGCAAAGTCAGCTGTTCAAACCCACCAGCTCCTTGGCGGGAGACTTTCTACTCCAATAGAAAGCTCTGGTGAAACTGTGGGTAAGAGTTGAGCACTAATTGCAAGGTCATGGTTCAAAGCCACCAGCTGCTCCCAGCAGGGAAAAAAATAAAGAGACGTGCGTGGAATTAACCATCACAGAAACCCTACATAGGGTTGTTTTGAGTCGGAATCAACTTGATGACACTAGGTTTGCAATGTTTTGTTTTAATCTTGCTTCAGTGAGGTGACAGGAAGTGGATTCTTCTTTTATTGTTTTATTGGGGTGTGTACACCTCTTATCACAATCCTTCCATCCATTCATTGTGTCAAGCACATTTGTATATGTTGCCATCATCATTTCCGAAACATGTTCTTTTTACTTGAGCCCTTGGTATCCGCTCCTCATTTCCCCCCTCCCTCCCCCATTAACCCTTGACAATTTATAAATTATTATTGCTTTTTCATGTCTTATATGACCGATGTCTCCCATCACCCACTTTTCTGTTGTCCGTCCCCCTAGGAGGGGGTTATATGTTGATCATTGTGATCAGTTGCCCCTTTCTCCCCCCCACCTTCTCCTTCCCCTCTTGGTATTGCTACTCTCATGGTTGGTCCTAAGGGGTTTATCTTCCTGAATTCCCTATGTTTCTAGCTGTCTGTCCCAGTATACATGCTCTGGCCTAGCCGGATTAGTAAGGTAGAATTGAGGTCATGATATTGGGGGAAGGAAGCATTCAAGAACTAGAGGAAAGTTGGATGTTTTATCTGTGCTATACTGCACTCTGAATGGCTCCTCTAAGGAAGTGGGTTCTTACTACTAACTTTGTCGTTAGTAATTAGACGCAAACTAGTTGCAATGCGTTTTAACTCGTAGAGACCATACATGATAGAGTAGAACGGCCCATACGTTTTGCTAGGCTGCAGTATTCACAGGAGCAGCTTGCCAGGGGAGTCACCCAAGGAACTGCAGATTGAGTTCGATGGTTAGCAGGTGAGCATTGAACCGTGTCGCCATCAGGGACCTAGGCACTAGTATAGTAAATATATGAGACTGCCACCAGAGTTATTATTGCTCCTGTTGCCACAATAAAAAGAAAACCCCACCTGCTGAGCCTCATTTCCATCAGGGGCCCTTTCATGGGTGCAACAAGACTGTTTCCATCACATGTTGTGGAAAACCCAAATAAATACCCCACTCACCCCCCGAATGGAAAGCAGGGGGTTCTGTGAATTCATTAGTTTGTAAGCCACTGGATTCACCAGGAATTGAACCTCTGTTAAATTATTTAGGCGTCATCTACGCAGTTCTAATACACCTGACAGGAGACCAGAACTTCAAAAGGTTGTAAATCACTTGTGGAAAACGGCCAAGACTAGAAAATGGAAAGAAAAAAAGAAAGAAAGAAAACAGAATGTCTTTCAAAGATTAATTTAAAACGCACATTATAAATGTGCAAGTGTTCTGGAACATTTTGTACTTCAAAGGTCAATAACTACTAGTCATTTTTGAAGATTATGAAATAGCTTATCACTCCCTCACTGATATCAAGAAATCCACTCAGACACAGGACAGAGTAGAACTGACCTCTTTGGGGTTCCCAGGCTGCAAATCTTTGCGGGATTTGATGTAGCAGTAATAAACGAGTCATTATTTTTACAACCTGAATATATACATTCTTAATGTCGAATGGAAATGGCTTCATTACACTTTCCGATTACAAAAGCAATGAATGGATGATAATGTTTAAACAAACAAACAGCAAGAGTGAGGTAGGGAGTGTAACAAGAAAAGAAAATCACATCTCAAATTGTGCATTCTACTTTCCTAACACTCATTGCTCTAGCTCCATTTTTGGTGCAGACCAGTGGATTAACGGAGAGGAAGTTGTGTAGGGAGGATAGGAGGCTTTGGTCTTACAGCCTGCGAGAGAAAGAGACATTTCCTCAAAGAAGCAGAAAAGGCCAAATCCCTGGCCTGCAGAGGAGGGGGGAGGGGAGGGTGAGCAGACCCTCCCCGGTAACCAGAGAAGTGTAAACTCCATCCACAAGGCGGAGATGCCACTTGTGGCCCCTTGGATTGGAGAGGGCTGAGATGAGTGACAGGAGGTGCGCGCAGGAGCACTGCGCATGGGGTGGTGGTGGAGGGGGTTGTCTGCGAGTGGCGGTGGCGGGGTGGGAGGTTGGAAGGGTCTTGCTGCACTGCCCGTCCCCCACCTCCCAGGGGGAGGGAAGGGCGAGCTCGGCGATGACGCACGGCCCTCACGTGACCGGGAGCTGCAGAGAGACGCAGCCTTCTGTGCAGTCGACACTCGCCTCTGGGTACCAGCTTCCCGCTGCCCGGCGCACGGCGGGCTGGCCTCGGGCCCGGCTAAAGCGCAGCAGGTAAGGCCCGGCGGCAGTGCGCCTCGCTGAGCTGCAGTCGCCCGCTGGCTTCGGACATGGGTGCGGGGATGAGAGCGGGCAATGCGGGCTCAAGTATAAGAAGCCTTCATCTCTGATTTTCTCGACCGCCCTGTCTCCCTCCCCCCACTATCACACATATGTGTTGGGTAAGCGTTGGACTGTTACTGCTAGGTTGGTGGTTCAAACCTATCAAGCGCTTGTAAAGATTTACAGCCTCGGAAACTCCATATCGGGTCACCAGGAGTCCGAATCAGCTTCATGGCAGTGAGTGTGGTGGGGAGAATGTTTCCGGAGGGAAACGAAGATGTGCCTTCTTTTCTGTGCTCTTATCACTGACTACACATGCCCCCCGGCACCACCTGCCCATATCACGCCACTGTGGCATGTTTGCAGTGACTGGATGGTGGGGGTGGTTTCTAGGAATGTGGAGAGGGATGTTTGACAACGAAGTTCCTGAAACCAGAAAGGCGAGTCTCTGTACCTTAGGTGCTGGTCCGATGGTCTCTCGGTGCCTTTACTCTTACTTGTTTGTAGCACAACAGTTGGGTGTAGCAGCATTTGTGGCCTGGTAAGAGAAGGAAAGGAGAAACCTGTCCGGGATCTGTGGAGGTTAGTGTGAGCAAAGACACTGTCTGGGAACTGCTGAATCCATATAAATAATAGATGGCAGGGGTCTTGGTGTCCCCCTCTGGCTGAGATTTGGGATGGGGCCAGTTAGAGGACTGTTCTTAGACTGCATCTGCTTAGGTAGCCACTGCTGCGACAACAGAAATGCCACAAGTGGGTGGCTTTAACAAGTAGCCATTTATTTTCACACCATTTGGGAGGCCGGAAGTCGGACTTCAGCACACCGGCTCTAGGGGAAGGCTTTCTCTGTCTGGAGGAAGGCGGCTTCTCCTGCCAACATCTGTGAGCCCAACATTTCTTGGGGATACACATGTATTTTTCCAATAATCTTGCCCTGGATCTAGAATGTTCTTAGGGCAGTACAAATAATGAGCTCCACTCCTGGCTCTTCTTTCTTGGTGAGAGACAAGTTCCCATTTCTCTCTTTGCTTCTCTTTCTTGATATCTTTTATATGATGAAATGTGATACAGGCCACACCATATCAAAACTCCTCTTACATTAGATTAGGGTTTTGACCTGAGTAATGGTGTTGCATCCTACTCTCCTCGCCTTATATTTGGTTGGCCGGTCACATCAGATCATATCCTAGTAGTATCATTAAATAACTACCAAATCACTGAAATGCAAGGCCCAACCAAATGCCACGTATTTGGGGGGAACGTAATTCAATCAAGACAGTTACCAAGGTTAGGTGTCTATTGATGATCATTAAAGACAACAAACTTTTCTACAGATGCTTTTATTTGCCCTTCAGGTAATATTGGGAAAAAGTACCAAATGTATCAAATATTACTATTATTTTTGTATGTCTTGGCAAGATTGAAAGAAGCAGTAATTTTTCAAGAAGCAAAAATATTCCCACACATCTTTTCTCCTTTAGTGCTGGAGACTCCTGGAGATGAAGGGCTTATGGGACCACAAGGCAGGAGGCTGTGATGCCAAAATATGGAATCTAGAAGGCACTATCTTTCCCATCATATTCTAGTCCCATCCCCCAGCCCCCGCCCACCGCAATATATCCCACCTAATTGGTTTTCTTAATGAAGGAAATGAGGGGGTGGGTTGTTTGAGGAGAAGCATAAGAACTCTACAGATGATTTTTCAGGTTATTTGCCTCTGCCTTTCCCCCTTGACCTCCATTTTCACACTGTTCTTTTCAGCGCTGGGAAAGCCCCAGTCTGTCTTTCAGGGAAATGGATCTCTGAACGCAGAAAGGCAGGTATAGGAACCCATGTTTTAGATGCTGGAATGTCACACACACTCAACACCCACAATATTGTTCTTTTTGTCTATTCCTAGGTTCTTCCCATAGGTCTGCAATAGGGTGTTCACCACTGGAAATAAGAGAAGACAGCGAGGCTGGCATGGAATTATGGAGGTTGGTGTGAAGGTGGGCAGTGGTTGGGGATGACAGCTGAGGGCGGGCATAACAGTTGGCTGAGATTTCCAAAGTGCTGCCCCACACTCTGCTGATTTGGGTGCAGGGAATGAGTAAGGGTGGGCAGGAGTGTGACTGAGAGGAGACTGAGGGGGAGACCATAAGAAAGGGCACATTAGCCAACTGAAATTGGGCTCTGGAAAGGCTTGGTTTGGGGTCAGGGATAAGGGTGCTTGTCCGTTGCCCCAATGACTCACTCAATCGTCATTACTTTCTCTTTGTTTACTGGTCAATAGGTCTGTCTGTAGGTCTACTATAGGCATTGATACCACTGGAAGTGAAGAAACAAGCGGAAATTGCCCCAGAGCAGTATAGACTGGTAAGATTACGGGGACTGACAGTGTAGATCTGTAGGGTGGGTTGATGGAGACCAACCTGCATCTCGTAGTGAGCAGTCCCCAGTCTGAAGGATCCCAGCCTTTCGATTTCCCAACTACCTTTCCCAACCCCCACTTTACCTTTATTTTGGTACAAGGAACAGTGTGACAGCACCTGGGGATATGGGGTGAAATGAGGAAGAATAGCTAGGCAGTTTACTAATAAATTGCCTAGCCTCAAGAGCCAAGTAAGTGTCTTCTCCTATCTGTTTCTCCATTCTATTTGTCTTTCTCTAGATCTCAGGATCTTGTGAATGTATCGACCTTCGTTAAGGTGTATCATCAGTCAAGAGCAGGAAAGAGGCGGGGACTACTTCAGATCATCCCAGGTTGGTGTGCAGATAGGACTTACGGAGTGAGAACCAAAGTAGGTCCAGTAAAAATTAAGATCTGGAGGCTTCTCAATCTTCCACTCAAAGCCACCTCTTCCATCATCCTGCCTACTGTACATTTGGTGTAGGGAAATATGTGTACAAGCATGTTCTGGGGAACTTATTGGGAACTGAGAAAGATAGAGAGGGGATGAAACAAAAGGGATAGAGAGAAAGTTTATGAATCATCTACTTCTTTCACCAAATATTTAATTTCTTCTTTTCCATGCCCCTCTGTGCATTGATATGAATGAGGCAACTAAATTAGAAGATATATTTCAGTCCCATTTAATTTCTCCACTCCTAGGTCTACCTCCAGTGGTAGCTGTACTGGCCGTTGAGTAACTGAAGAACTCGTACCAAGATCTACCATCCTCTTTGATCAGTCTGAGTGAGCACTCTCTGTACTTGTTTGTGCCTTCACCAGGGTTGATTAATGGGCCGCATTCAGGAAGTGGGCTGGGTGACTGCAGGACTAGTGATCTGGGCTGGTACCTGTTACTGCATTTACAGATTAACCAAGGGAAGAACCAAGAGAGTGAGAAAATTGAACAGAAATGGGTCCAGAGTCAAGACGGAGCCCGTGGTTGGGGTACAGAACCAGACTTTGCCCATGAGTGAGGCCATGAATAGGGCAGAGATCAAAACGATACCCCAAATCAAGACTGGAGCTGAAACTGAACCAAGAGGTGGGGCTAGGGCTGAAGGCGCTCTAGCCACTGCTATAGCCAAACCCAAAGCTAACTCCCAGGCCAAGGCAATGATTGGAACAGAGGCCAAGGCAGATGCAAAGCCCCAATCAGAGGCCAAAGCAGATATCAAGACCGAGGCAATGACTCTGGCTGGGGCCAAGGCCAAGGCCAAGCCAAAAGCCAAAGCCAGAGAAGTTTCCAAGAAAGAGGCCATGACTCAAACGGAGACTGAGGCTGGGAGAATAGCAAAGAAAGAGGCGGTGACTCAAACCAAAGCTAAAGCTTGGACACTGGCTGCCAAAGCAGAGCCTGCCAAAGCAGAGATCAAGAAAGATGCAACAGCCCAGCCCAAAACTGAAGCTCATACATTGGCTGTAAAAGAGACGGAGATTAAAAGAGTAATGGTGACACAGACTGAGGTCTTGGCAGTGACCAAGGAAGTGGCCAAAATGGGAGCCATGACCAAGACTGGAGTTGTGGCGGAAGCGAAGACAGTAGCCATGGATGGAACTACGAGTGTAGCCAAGACTCAGTCGGAGGCTAGGCCTGGCACCATGGTTGATGTGAAGGGGAAACCTGATGTCATGTCTTGTGTAGTGGCTGGAGTGGATACAAGGTCTTGTGCACAGTCTCAGGCTGTGGACAAGATCCAGGTGGAAGACATGTCTGGTGTGAGGATTGAGGCCAAAGGGAATCACAAAACCACGTCTAAGGCAGAATCTGGGGCAAACACGAGGGCTTCTACCCAGCCTCAAAATGTTGCTAAGGCCCAGACTGAGGGTATATCTGTAAAAAAGGTTGATTCTGAGCCTCAAGCTATAACTAGCAGTCAGGCCGAGGCCATGCCTGATGCCAAGGTTAAAGGTAGAGGCAAATCCAAGGCCATGCCTAAAGGAGGGTCCAGGGACAGTGCCCAGACTGAGACCTTGCCAGATGCCAAGGTTAAGGCTAGAGGCAATCCCAATGCCACATCTAAGACAGGGGATGGGATAGACATGTTGTCTTGTTCCCAGCCTCAGCCTGTGGCCAATACCCAGGCTGATGCTTTGCTTGATAGCAGAATCAAAGGTAAGGCCAATACCAATGCCGTGTCTAAGGAAGGAGCTGGGACGGACACAAACGCACAGTCCCAAGCTACGGCCAAGAACCAGGTTGAAGCATTAACTAGTACTAAACGTAAATCTAGGGGCAAAGCTGATGCCAAGTGTAAAGCAAAGGTTGGAGCAGACACGAAATGTGCACAGCCTCAGCCTGGGAACAAGGCTCAAACTGATTCTAAGGCTCCATCTGATTCTAAGGTTGATGGCAGGGGAGATACTAATGTCATTTCTAAGGCAGGAGGGAAAGCAACCAGTTCCCAGGGTGAATCCCTGCCTGGTGGCAGGAGTAAGGCCAGGGGCATTCACAATGTTGCATCTCTGGTAGAAGCTGAAGCAGATACAAAGGACTCTGCCCAGCCTCAGACTGTGGCCAGTTCCCAGGTCAAAGCCTTGCCAGGTGGCAAGAATAAGGCCAGGGGCAACCCCAATGCTGTGTCTTCAGCAGAAGTTGCGGCAGATACAAGGAACTCTGTCCAGTCTCAGACTCTGGATAATTCCCAGGTCGAAGCCTTGCCTGGTGGCAGAAGTAAGGCCAGGAATAACTCCAATGTTGTGTCTAAGGCAGAGGCTGAGGCAGATACAAAGGACTCTGCCCAGCCTCCGACTGTGGCCAGTTCCCAGGTCAAAGCCTTGCCCGGTGGCAGGAATAAGGCCAAAGGCAATCACAATGCAGCATCTAAGGCAGAGACGGAAGCAGATACAAAGGACTCTGCCCAGCCTCAGACTGTGGCCAGTTCCCAGGTCGAAGCTTTGCCTGGTGGCAAGAATAAGGCCAGAGGCAACCGCAATGCTGCATCTAAAGCAGAGACTGGGACAGATACAAGGAACTCTGCCCAGCCTCAGACTGTGGCCAGTTCCCAGGTCGAAGCCTTGTCTGGTGGCAGGAATAAGGCCAAGGGTAACCCCAGTGCTGTGTCTAAGGCAGAGGCTGGGGTGGGTGTAAGGGACTCTACCCAGTCCCAGGTTGTGGCCAATTCCCAGGTCGAAGCCTTGACTGGTGCTCGGAATAAGGTCAAAGGTAACCCCAATGCTGTGTCTAAGGCAGAGGCTGGGGCGGGTATAAGGGACTCTACCCAGTCTCAGGCTGTGGCCAATTCCCAGGTTGGAGCCTTGACTGGTGCTCGGAATAAGGTCAAAAGAAACTCCAATGCTGTGTCTAAGGTAGAGGCCAGGGACTCTGCTCAGCCTCCTACTATGGCCGATTCCCAGGTCAAAACCTTGACTGGTGCCAGGAATAAGGTCAAAGACAATCCCAATGCTGTGTCTCAGGCAGATACCAGGAACTCTGCTCATACGGTGGCCAATTCCCAGGTCGAAGTCTTGACTGGTGCAAGGGACAAGGCTATGCCCATGTCTGAGATAGACATCACAGCAGATATTGATATGTATGCAAATCCTGAGGATGAGGACACGCCAACTTCTGAGAGTCAGGCTGGGGCAGGCATTCAGACCCATCAAACTACTCAATCTAAGGTCCACAACCTTTACTGGAATGGGGTGGGTATTGAGGATTGGATGGCTGCTGAGCGGTGGATCAAATTTAGGTTTCAGGCCAGGGATGGATACTGGGAAAATAGCACGTCGTGGGCTGGGGATGACAATGAAGTCAGTATTGAGTCCTGGAGTGGAGCTAGTGATGAGGCTGGGAATAATCGGTCCTGGGCTGCAACTTGTGATACGACCAGCGCCAAGTCCTGGGCTGGGACGAGGACTGGAAATGAAGTCGGTATTGGGTCATGGGCTGGAGCTGGAGAACAGACCAGTGAAGGGTCATGGGTCACAGAACCTGGAAACCAGGCCAGTGGTGGAACCTGGGTTGGGAGTCAGACCAGTGAGGGATCTTGGACTGAGAAAAAAGCCAGTGGGAGTTCCTGGGGTGGGGGTGGAAATAAGACTATTGGAGAGTCCTGGACTGGGACTGACATCCATCTTAGTAGGGGCCAAGCCAGTGGGGGGTCCTGGGAAGAAAACAAGGCAATTAGCGTATCCTGGACTGGAGATGAAAATCAGGCCAGTGGAAGGTCCTGGGATGGAGCTAGGATTCAGCCTAATGAAGAATCCTGGACTGGGGCTGAGGATCAGGCTGCTGGTGTGTCCAAGGCTAGATTTGAGGACCAGGCTAGTGGAGCAGGATCCTGGGCTGGGGCAGGTGGCCAGGCTGGTGGAGGACCCAGGTTGGGGTCAGATGATCAGTCTAGGGGTGGGTCCTGGGCTAGTCAAGGAAATCAGGCTAATGGAGGGCCTTGGATTGGGGCAGGGGACCAGGCTGATAACTGTTTCAAGCATGGATTTGAGGATCAGGCCACTAGAGGAGGCTCCTGGGCTGAGTCTAGACCTAGGAATGAGGACAGTGGAAGGGCTATGCTGGGGCTGGAAAACCAGGTCAGTGGAAGTCCCTGGGCTAGGGCAGAGGACAAGGCCAGTGGAAGGTATTTATCTGACATTGTAGACCAGGCTGGTGAAGGATCTAGTTTTGTGTCTGAGGACCAGTCCAAGGGATGGTTCCGTGCTTGTTCTGAGAGTCAGGCTAGTAGTGGAGGATCCTGGGCTGCATGCAGTGGCCAAGCTAGTGGAGGACTCAGGGCAGGGCCAGAGGACCAATCCAGTGATGTGCCCTTGGCTGGAACTGGGATTCACGTTATTGGAGGATCCTGGGCTGGGGCAGGTGGCCAGGCTGGTGGAGGACCCAAGGGACCAGAGGACCAGTCCAGTGGTGCTTCCTGGAATGGGGCTGGGGATAAGGCTGATGATTATTCCAAACCTAGGTTTGAGGATCAGGCCACTGGAGGAGGGACCTGGGCTGTGTCTAGGACGGGGAATGAAGCCAGCGGAGCGTCTAGGCTGGGGCCCAAGGGCCAGTCCAGTAAAGAGTCTTGGACTAGGGCCAAGGACCAGGCCAGTGGAAGGTACTTGTCTAAGGCTGGAGACAAGTCTATTGGAGGGGTCTGGGTTTATCCTAGGGACCAGGCTAGTGGGGAGTCAAGGCCAGGGCCCTCAGACCTGTCTAGTGGTGGGTCCTGGGCTGGCACAGTGAATCAGACCAATGGGTCCTGGCTTGTGACTAGGAATCAGGCTGGTGACTGCTCCAAACTTGGATTTGAGGATCAGGCCAGTGGAGGTAGGCCTTGGGCTGGGGCTAAGCGTGGAGATGGAGCCATTAAACGGTCTAGCCTTGAGCTTGAGGACCAGGCCAGTGGAGGGTCTCTGTTCAGGGCAGACATGGAGGCCAACAAAGCATCTTGGTTTGGGGCTGAAAATGACACTAGTATAGGGTCTTGGTTCTGGGAAGGGCAAGAGTCTGTGTCTAGGTCTGGAGGTAAGAATGAAGCCAGGATTAAATCCAGATCAAGGCCTGGAGAAGAGACTATTATTAGCTCCAGGTTTGGGGCTGAGGCCAAGGCCAGAAGTAGGACCTGGATACAATCCGATGAAGCATCCTATATGGGTTCCTGTGAGGGGGCTGGGGCTGAGGCCAGGATAGGGTCCCGTTTCTGGGATATAGATACAACTGCTGACGGCTCTAATCTTGGCGGTGCTGAAGGAGAACTTGGCTCAGGGTACTGGAATTTGGCTGGGGACGTAGATGAGGATGAGGGAAGTGTAAGATCCAGTCCTGATATTGAGGAGATCAGTTTAAGGTCTTTGTTCTGGGCTGAGAGTGAGGACAGTGGAGAGATCAGATCCAAGACTGGGAAAGATGTTCAATTTGAATGTGGGACCAGGGGTGAGTCCAGAACCAAGGATAAGACGGAGGCTGCTGGTGAAGTCGATGCAACTGCTGAAAACGAGAACAGCAGTCGGGGCAAATCTAGATCTGGGGCTCAAGCTGAAATGTCAGCGACATCAAGAGACATATGTTCCTCCATGGTCCCTGGGGCAGGAAAGGAGTCATGGGCTGGAGCCATGATCTGGACAGAAATGAAGTTTCCATACCGAAATAAGGTCAGCTTCCCACCTGAAGATGAGCTCAGAAAACAGATCAGGGCTGGGGAGAAGATTCGACCTTGGGCCTGCCGCTGTAAACGTGAAGCTAACATGGATCCCCGAGAGCTAGAAAAACTCATTTCCATGATTGAGATGACAGAGGATCCTTCCATTCATGAAATAGCCAATAATGCTCTTTTTAATAGTTCTGATTATCCCGACTCCCAAGACGTTGTTCGTAATGTAAGTGGTGTTTCAATTATCAAAAGCTTGCTCAATCATCCCTACCCCAGTGTTAGGCAGAGGGCTTTAAATGCATTAAACAACATGTCAGTGGCTGCTGAAAATCATAGGAAGGTTAAAACATATATAAACCAAGTCTGTGAAGACACTGTCACCTCTCCTGTGAATTCTAGTGTGCAGCTAGCTGGATTAAGATTGATTAAGCGCCTGGCTATTACTAGTGAATATCAGCATATGGTTACAAATTATATTTCAGAATTTCTTCGCTTGTTAACTGTGGGAAGTGGAGAAACAAAAGACAATATTTTAGAAATGCTTTTGAATTTCTCTAAAAATCCCTCTATGACAAAATACTTGCTTATTGCCAATGCACCAACATCACTGATCAACATCTTTAGCAAGAAAGAGACAAAAGTGAATATTCTCAATGCTCTTTCACTATTTGAGAATATAAATTACCATTTAAAAAAAAGAGCAAAAGTATTTACCCAAGACAAGTTTGGGGAAAATTCTCTTTACTTCCTATTTCAACGACCTAAAATGTGTGCCAAGAAACTTCGAGTCTTAGCTGCAGAATACAAGGACCCTGAGGTGAAAGAAAAAGTTGAGCTATTAATACGCAAACTGTGATTGGTTGAATGATTCCAAATAAAATGGAATAATAGTCTGGTTGTGCAGCCTGGAAGTAATGCACATTGTATATGACATGATAACTTTGAAAGTGTCGTTGCTCGATCATTTCATGGTTAAAAAGTGAATTCAAACTTGTAATGGGAATGTGTTGACTTCTATCTTGCCTGGATTAAGATATTTTTAGTATGCTTCATGAGCAGACACTGAACTGGTTCTACATGAGGTAATCTTTGGTCCTTTGTGTGGACTTATGTTTATACATCTGAGACTTTATTTTTATGTTATCAATAAAGCTGTGTGTTTTAAGCAGAAACAAAGTTGTCGTCCTTGTCATTGAATTTATCATCCATTCACAAAGGTAGGTTTCATGGACACAAAAAGATGCCCACAAGCTGATGCTTTTTGTGGCTGCTTAGAGAAGACAGAAGCTGCTGTGGGCAAGGGATGGTTAAGGAAGCTGGGCTCAAAGGAGTGATGGGAAGAAAAGAGAAGGCTGGCCTGCTTGGAGTGGAAAGTGTGGGGAAAAGGGAATAAGGAGAGATGGGGTTTGACAGGAGAGTGAGCCCCGTTCATGGAAGACTCGGATTCCCAAGCTGCTGAGTCTGAACGCTAGTCCATCTTCCTGTGGGAGCCACCAAAGTCTTTTGCGACCAGAGGAATGGCTGTATGAAAGGAAAATGAATGTGGCTGGTGTGTGTGATGGATGGGTTGTCATGAGGTGAGCAGAGGGGTGGGGACTGGAGATGGGAAAACCATTAGAAAGATGTCACCATGGTCCAGGCATGAGATGATCAAAGGGGGGAGGTTACACTGGTGGCCGTGGGAATGGGAAGGAGAGGGCAGACTCTTCCAAAGAGGAAGTGTTGAATCCTGTTCTGAGGCCTACAGAAAGGGACGATTTCATGTTCCAGGGGCATTTGATCAGGCAACGTCCTCTTTCTTGCCCAATTGTGGTGGCTATGTAGCTGCATAAGCTGATGACTGTTTTGAAGCCATCAGAAAATGTAGCGAAAAGACAAATGTGTGCATAAGCAAATGTGGTGAAGAAAGTTGTTGGTGCCCGGCTGTCAAAAGACACAGCCTCTGGGGTTTTAAAAACAAGCAGCCATCTAGCTCAGAAGCAACAAAGCCCATACAGAAGAAGCACACCAGCTTGTGTGATCACGAGATGTCGAAGGGATCAGGTATCAGGTGTCAAAGACCCAAAAATCATTTCATTGTAAATGAGGGGGAGTGCAGAGTGGAGACCCAAAGCCTATCTGTAGGTAACAGGACACCCCCTTACAGAAGGGTCATGGGGAGGAGATGAGCCAGTCAGCGTGCAGTGTAGCAACAATGAAACATAACAACTTTCCTCTGGTTCTTGAATGCTTCCTGCCCCTCACTATCATGATCCCAATTCTACCTTACAAATCCAGCTAGACCAGAGGATGTACACTGGTACCAATAGGAACGGGAAACAGGGGATCCAGGACAGATGATCCCTTCAGGATCAGTGGTGAGAGTGGCGATACCAGAAGGTGGAGGGAGAGTGGGCTGGAAAGGAGGAACCGGTGATAAGGATCTACATATAACCTCCCTGGGTGATGGACAACAGAAAACTGGGTGAAGGGAAACGTCAGACAGTGTAAGACATGATAAAATAATAATAATTCATAAATTATCAAGGGTTCATGCGGGAGAGGGGAGCGGGGAGGGAGGGGGAAAATGAGCTGATGCCAAAGGCTTAAGTGGAGAGCAAATATTTTGAGAATGATGAGGGCAACGAGTGCACAAATGTGCTTGACACAATTCATGTATGTATGGATTGTGATAAGAGTTGTATGAGCCCCCAATAAAATGATTTAAAAGAGAAAGAAAATGCAGCGATATAAAGGATGAATTCCAGTGCTTTGATGAGATTGATAAGGCTGGCCGGGGCAGGATCATTGAGAGGGAATGCTGGGATTCATATAGGAGATGATCTGCCTCCCTCCTGCCCCATAGCGTTGTGAGGATGTCGCGGGAGGGGCACTTTCAAACTGTGCTTCTTGGTGGGAGCATGCACTGGTACAAGGTCCATCGGTCTCAAGTTGTCAAGATGTGCATACTCCTTGACACAGGGATTCCCGTTGTCGAAATGTGGCCCTTAAAAATAACCAAGTAATTGGTTTGTGAAAAGTTGCGCATTTTTCACCTCGTTTTTTTTTTTTTTTTTTTTAGCTTAAAGTAACACACATTTATTATTGTTTAGTTCTGGAGGTCAGATATCCAAAATGGGTCTCACAGAATTAGCAATCAAGGCATCAGCAGGACTTGAGGGCGCCCGCGGCTTCTGGAGGTTCTAGTGGCGATGTCTTTCCTTGTCTCTTTCTTGGCTTTTCTTGCCCTTGGCCTTTCTTGGCTCGTGGCTCTTTTTCTATCTTCGACGCCAGCAATGGCATTACTTCCAACCCCTTCTTTTTGTCTTCGTATAACGCAATTGACAAAGACAATGTTCTATACCTTAATTTAGTGGGTAGTGACGAGGGTCTTAAAAGCACATGAGCAGCCATCTCAGGGACAACAGAGGAAAGGGCGATGGAAGTAAATGGGCACCTGGAAACAACGAGTGCAGTGGACTAGTAGACCATACACACCCCAGCCTTTACAACCCCGAGGCTTGAGGACTAGATGGTTCCCAACTACCAACTGCTCTGAAAAGGATCCCTTTAAAGCAGTGGTTCTCAACCGTCCTAATGCTGAGACCCTTTCATACAGTTCCTCATGTTTGGTGACCCCCCAACCATAAAATTATTTTCGTTGCTACTTCATCACTGTAAGTTTGCTACTGTTATGAATCATAATGTAAATATCTGATATGCAGGATGTATTAGGCGACCCCCGTGAAAGGGTTGTTTGACTCCCCCAAAGGGGTCGCTACCCACAGGCTGAGAACCGCTTCTTGAAAGGGTCCTGGATAAAGCAGGAGAAAAATGTGGAGCAGAACTCAAAATTTCTAAGGGACCAAGCTTCCTGGGAGATTAGGGACTGTTGGAACCCTTGCTACTCTGTCACTTCCACACTAAATGTCACTTCCACACTAAAATGATCAACATTCAAGATCAAAAGGACAGCATTTATTCAGGGACAAAGAAGGAACATGGAAACACGAAACACCGGGAGGAAGCGGGACTGCTTAGGGTTGTAAGGATGAGCCCCATCAGAATGCGTATGGATTGCTGAATGGAAAACGATGCTCTCACTAAACTGTCACCATAAAAAGTTAAAAATGAAATGCAAAGAATGGGGTGGTAGGCATATTCATGGACCCTATGCGGCTTTTGTTCTGTTATACTGACTCGCCAGCACCTCGTGACAGAACAATGATGCCCACTTCCTAACCCTGGAAGTTGTGAACGTGTTAACTTGTACAACAGAAGAACTTTGTAGTGCTTAAGGTAAGGATTATGAGATGAGGTGATTATCTTCACATCTTTTTAAGTGGGAATAAACAACCGCCAGGTCTTGATATCGTTTAAGGCATGTGTACTCCGTAAAATATTGTAAATCCATTAAAATGATGATGGTTGCCTACATTTATTTGCATGAATAAGTCTTCTTATAGTAGATGGGAAAAATAGGCTGAAAAGTGCATACCATATATATATTTTCATGGTGAAATACATGTTTACATTGTTTTCTAATAATTTCTTATGGCTGTTGTGTTAGACAAATGGTCGATTTGATTAGATTTTTAAAAATACTTATCTGTGGGTTTTGATTTTTGTATAATAAATATGGATTGATTCTACAATGTACCAAAAAAGGAGAAAGTTAGATTTAAGGTGGGCAGGCCTGTCAACATTGGAGGAATTCGAGGCAAAAGGATAAATGGAAGGTTGTATATGCATATTTTTTGAAATCATTTTATTGGGGCTCATACAATTCATCACAATACATACATCAATTGTGTAAAGCACACTTATACATTTGTTGCCCTCATCATTCTCAAAATTCGCTTTCTTCTTGGGTTCCTGGAATTAGCTCATTTTCCTTTTTTCCCTTCCCCCTCCCTCCCTCTCCCCCCTCCCTCATGAACCCTTAATAAGTTATAAATTATTATTATATCTTATTTTACACTGCCCAGCATCTCCCTTCACCCACCCTTCTGTCGCATATGCATGTTTTTTGCCTAAACTTTTGGAAGGTGTAAATTTAAAATCTCAACAAAAATTATTTAAATAAAGGCGAAAGTGTAAGGATAAAGGTCAGAGCATTTCAATGTCTTTAACTATGACAGAAATAAAACCATTCTCAATTCTAGTTCTCAATGGCAACCAACTTGCCCACGTAAAAATAAACTGGTCTCACACTTGTGGTGGCTTCTTTGATATCCTGATCTTTCTTCACGAATAACGAGCTTATTAGTTCAGTTGCTGAGAGTGCCATTAGCAGAGAGCCCTCAGCTGTTATCTTTCTTTAGGAATTGCCTCAGCTGCAGAAAGCCACCTTCCCCAAGGTCACACTCCCTTCTTCCCCAAGGTCACACCCCCTTCTTGGGGCACTTCACAGCAGTGACTGACTTTTTACCCCAAATTGGGACTACTTGACTTTTCCCGTTGCCAAATCCAGTGTCCTTCTTTTCCTTTCTAAAAGTGGTGATCCTAGGAGAATTCTGTAATACAAATCTTTCCAGCTGAACTGTGTCTATGTCTGCTTCCTGGTTAAAAAGTGGTCTGAGAAAGCATAAAAACCCACTGCCGTGAAGACCATGTTGACACACAGCAACCTATAGGACGGAGGAGAACTGCCCCTGTGGGTTTTTGAGGTTGTAAATCTGTGTTAGAGCAGAAAGCCTCACCTTTCTCCCACAGAGCTGATGAGTTTGAATTGCCCACCTTTAAGGTAGCAGCAGAATGCTTCACCACTGCATCACCAAAGCTCCTTTGAAGATAAAATTTTGGAGAGGGAACACGCACTGCCTCACTGCTAATGAGGACTCTATCACTGGTAGTAGATGGAGTAGGTAGGCTTTTAAAAAAATCATTTTATTGGGGGCTCGTACAATTCTTATCACACTCCATCCATCCATCCATTGTGTCAAGCACATTTGTACATTTGTTTCCATCATCATTCTCAAAACATTTGCATTCTGCTTGAGCCCTTAATATCGGCTGCTCATTTCCCCGCTCCCTCATGAACCCTTCATAATTCATACATTATTATTATTTTGTCACATGTTACACTCTCCAACGTCTCCCCCCCCCACCCTCTTCTCTGTTGTCCATCCCCCAGGAGGAGGCTATAGGTAGATTCTTGTAATCAGTTCCCCCTTTCCACCCCACATTCC